CACAAAGAGCAAGTAGGTCTGGTGAACTTTGCAAGAGATAAGACTCAGCAGCAAAAAAAAGTTTCGAAGACCACGAATATTAGTGAATGATAGATTTAGAGAACTTGGTGATGACGATGTTTTTTTGTGTTTTCTAGTTTTTGATACTTTTTTTATTTTTAATTTGTTAACTTCACTCAAAGTATAAACAGTACTCAATACACTGTTTAATAGTCCAGACAATTGCCTCATTACTATTAATAAACCCTCAGCCGTAAAAAAGAGCTCCAAATGTGGCCTCGCGATGCACACCAAAAGTACAAACAGGGACACCATCCATGCGCAACTACTGTTAATACTTTGATATTTTTCAGCTGTTGATGAAATCAGCCTCTCTGAGAGTTACCACAGAGTTCTGGAAACCTGACTACCAGCCGGCCTCAGAACCATAAAACTGAGTTTTAGAGCTGTACCCTTATTATGAGATAATAAAATGAGTTGCCTAGTCATAATAACAGAGATACAAGCAATACCCATGCATTGACTCAAGAAGATCCAGCATTTAACATCCTAAACTGGGAACAATGTATTAAAAATTCATCTACGCCAGTCTAATAGATAAAGAAAGGGGCGAGGTTAGTCAACAGATAGAATCTGTTTACCCCATAAGTCTTTGGTTCAAACCCCACCTCTGGGCAAGTTTCGCGACATTGGTTAGGAAGGAGACTTGAATTTCCAATTAAAATCTGTGATAAGACCGTAAGGACTTCTTGGGGCACCTATATATATATATATATATATATATATATATATATATATATATATATATATATATATATATATATATATATATATATATATATATATATATATATATATATATATATATATATATATATATATATATATATATATATATATATATATATATATATATATATATATATATATATATATATATATATATATATATATATATATATATATATATATATATATATATATATATATATATATATATATATATATATATATATATATATATATATATATATATATATATATATATATATATATATTTTAAAAAAAACATAGCCGTGAATTAATGATAACGAATGGGGATAAATGAAGGGGGGTAACCAAATAACTTTAAAGCTGAGAGAGTAAAGACACTGTACACTATACTTTTAGCATACTTTTATTAATTAGATTAATATAAAATCAAAAAAATAGATATTTCGATAGAGAAGAAAAATAAAAGAATTTTATTGATGACAAAACTTATAAAAATATTAAAAAATTGTTCAAATATTATTCATAACTTAAAACTAATAAATTCATTTTTATGTAGTTTGTTTGTTAAAGTTACATGAATTTAGTCTTTAAGATCATAATATTCACTGTGTCCCACCATAACAAATTAAGTTTAAATCTAATTTCTTTCGACATGAGTGTCGCTAAAAAGAAAGCTAAGCTACTAAAAAGAAGCCTAAATATCAATAATCCGAATAAAAAAGTTCAACTTTTGAAATTATTTCAACCATGATCTTTATAACAAACATAAGGATGGTATGAAAATTTACTTTAGTTAGCTAAAAATAAAAATTACCTACTAAAAACTGTTAGTCAAAAATTATTTGGTAACAACTACAATTAAAGATGGCTGATATATAAACACATAAAATGATTACATTATCAAGATGAACAAAATTCTAATCTTTGAGAATATGCTTCTTATTCACTGTGCCCCTCGATCCACTGTACCCCAACTTCCCCTATATACATTGAAATGTGCAGATTTGGATATACTTGCATCTTCATATGAAACAATATTACCAAGAAGATCCAAAGAAGTTTCCTGAAGAACCTCAGTTCGGTTCCAACTCCGGATTATGAGGACAATTCGTGACCATTGACGTCAGTGTAGTAGAAATTTCCAAAATCTAAGCAATTTTCACGAAGTGTATTGACACTTGTTTCTATTAGAAGTTTTAATGTCTATTAAAAATCCAAATTTGGTGTTTCCGTTTTTTGTATTAACCGTATTGGTATCTCCATTTGGAGTCTTTCAACTACGCTGTTCATAAATAAATGAAAAAAAACGCAAGAAAAAAAGTAGAAACTTTTGGTCCTCCAAAAGTTATTGGTAATGAAGGAGAGTGTTGTCAATAAAGAGCAACTTAAGAAAACAATTATTCAAGTATTTGTTTATGAAGAAAACTAACTCACTAGAAACTATCAAAAGCATTTGATATATCAAGAGTAATAGCTCTTGCATCACTTTTTTTAATCTTATGAACGATAGTTTCTTTTTCTTATAACGGTGAACAGTAAGTTAAATGTTATAAGAAAAGTATATAAGTTGAAATCTGCAGTAAAACAAGAGAATCTAAATCCGTGTTTATTGTCAGAGAGTAAACTGCCTTAATCTTATTTATCAACCTTAATTTGTTACAAAGGACTTTTATGTGGCCTCGAAAGTACACATTAAAAGAACTAAAAGGGACTCAATTTATATGCAACTAGGGATTGATAGTTATCAGATTTTTTACAGCTGTTGATGGAATCAGTCACTCTGAGAGTTACGACAGAGTTCAGATAATCCTACAACCAGCCAGTCTAAGGATCATTAAACTGAGTTTTAGAGCTCTTACCCACATTAGAAAGTGAAATGAATATATATATTTATATATAATTTAGTAAAAACATTTATCTAATTTTTGTGCTCTTCAACAGCATGTTTCATCATCAGTAGGTTCATCAGAAAGCCTATGAACCTACTTCCTTCCTAATGCTTCCTAATGAACCTACTGTTGGTGAAACATGCTGTTGAAGAGCACAAAAATTAGATAAGTGTTTTTACTAAATTATTATTGCTCTGTTCTTTAAGAACATTGAGCCCTCTATTTGTTGAATACACTAACATCTTTTAAATCGTTGCATCAAAATAAATAAAAAATGACAGAAACTGGTAAGGGAGGTGTTTTTCCTCCAATGTTAGATTTAACTGTAGATAGATTCGCTGCATTTCGCTGATGGATTGAGAAATGGCATGATTATGTTTTATTGTCAGATTTAGAAAAGAAACCACCAGCATATCAAGCTGCTATGTTAAGATAAACATTTTTTTCAGAAACTCGAAACATTTACGAATCATTAAATCTAACCGAATATAAAAAAACGAAACCAGCTATTATATTGGAAAAAATGGAAGTGTTTGCTAAAGATATTATTAATAAGACTTTAGAAAGACATAAATATTTTAAACGTTTTCAAGAAGATGGTGAATGCTTTGATGATTTCTTAACCGAAGTAAAATTACTAAGTAAAAATTGCAACTTTTGCAATACTGAAGACTGTTTTGGCAGTTTATTAAGAGATAAATTGTATATGTAATACGGTGTGACAAAGTACGTGAGAAATTACTTTCTGAAAAAACTCTGACACTCGATAAAGCAGTAGAAATTTGTCGTTCTTCAGAAAAAGCACAAGATGGTGTATCTGAATTGCGAAATAATAACAATGTGAAAGTGTTGACCGCATTGGAAAACAATTGTACAGTAAAAACAAATTTAATTCACCCACACAGAACAGTAATAATAGAGATTTTAAATTTAACTCATTGTTATGTAAATTTTGTTTAAAAAAGCATCCTTTTATTCGGGGATCGTGTCCAGCCTGGGGTAAAAAGTGCAGAGACTAAAATTATGAATCACTTCTCAAATATTTCAGTTTGCCTAAAAACAAAGCCAAATATTCCTGATACATGTGTTGATCAACAGAATGATAGTAACAATTCGTCAAGTATGCAGCATCTTGATGCATTGTTTTTAGGAAAAGTTGGAGCAGATTGTGCTGAAAGACCTTGGGAAATACAATTAAAAGTAAAATATGAAAAAATAACATTTAAAATTGACACAGGTGCTGAGGTAACAGTTATAGGAACTAACCATTTAAAAAAGTTTGGAATTAAAATTGAGCATTTATACACTACTAATAAACGATTAATAGGTCCTGATTATAAGCCACTCAATTGTCTTGGATATTTTCAAAAATCATTTTCTATAAACGGTCGGAACAGTGAATTAATTACTATATATGTCTGTGATAATGTGCAAACTGCTTTATTGGGAAAACCTGCCTTACGAAAGTTTAACTTAGTTAAAGTAGACATTCCTGAAAGATTTATGTGTGCTATTATTTCCAAATCAAAAAGTAACATTATAGAACAGTTTCCTCTAGTTTTCAAGGGGTTAGGGACTATTAAAGGTAACCCTGTACATATTACAACTCAATAAAATGCAACACCGTACCACATTGGAGCACCACGACGTGTAGCGTTCCCACTACTAGAACCGTTGAAGGTAGAACTAGAGCGTATGAAAGAGATGGGTGTTATCAAAATAGTAGATCAACCTACAGATTGGTGTCATCCAATAGTAGTTGTAAAAAAACCAAATGGACTACTTCGTATTTGTATTGATTTAACACAGTTAAACAAACACACCAAACGTGAGTTCTATGAACTGCCAAGTGTAAACGATACATTGGCCCAACTTGGAAACAGATGTAAATATATGGCAAAGTTAGACGCTAACTCAGGATATTGGCAGTTACCAATGGATATTGAAAGTCAGTTAAAATGTACATTTACGACACCTTTTGGTCGGTTCTGCCCAATAAGGGGGCCATTTGGATAAACATCGCTCCTGAAATTTTTAGTAAAAAAATGAATCAAGTTATTGATGGTCTAAAAGGAGTGGTTAAAAGTATGGATGATTTCTTAGTTTTTGGAAATACAGAAAAGGAGTATAATTAAAACCTTGTAGCATTGCTAAATAGATTTGCTGAAAATGGAGTTAACCTTAATGTAGAGAAATGTTTATTCGATCAAACAGAAGTGGAGTTTTTAGGTCATAAAATATCAGCACATGGAGTAAAACCATTGACCAAAAAAGTTGAAGCAATAAAAAATTTTCCGAAGCCAACAAACATTACGTCTTTACGTAGTTTTTTTAGGCATGGCCCAGCAATTATCTAAATTCAATCCATCGCTTGCTAAAGTAGCCGAAACCTTGCGAGATCTTTTGAGTTCTAAATCAGCATGGTTTTGGACTGAAAATCATACAAAAGAATTCAATGAGGTAAAAAACAGTTTAACCAATCCACCCATTTTGGCGCACTACGATGTTAAAAAATCTGTAAAAGTAAGAACAGATGGAAGTTTATTAAATGGACTTAGCGTAACAGTTTACCAGAATCATAATGGTACATACAAACCAATTGATTGTGCATCTAGGTTTCTTACGACAACTGAACTATATAATCCTACAAAAGAAGATGAGATTGCAGAAAATGATCTGAATGTGTATGTTAATTCTATAATAAAAACTATGCCTGCTACAGAGAGTCGTTTAGAAGAGATTAAGCAAAAAACTGCGAAAGATAAACTTTTAAACCAATTGCAAGAAAGTATAATTTCTGGATGGCCAAATTCAAAAAAATACTGTCCGGCAAATATCCAACCTTATTGGGATTTTAAAGATGAAATAGTTAAAATTGATGGACTCTTATTATATCAGAATAGAATAATAATCCCAGTTACTATGCGGAGAGAAATTCTTTCAAAATTGCACGAAGGTCATTTGGGAATGGAGAAATGCAAACGTCGTGCACGTCAGAGTGTTTTTTGGCCAGGTTTAAACAACCAAATTGAACAGTTAATTAGAAAGTGCGAGGCATGTATGAAGTATCTCCCATCAAAGCCAAAAGAACCTATGCTAACTACTGATTTCCCAACACGGCCATGGCAAAAACTGGGAACTGATTTGTTTCAATTATTATAGCTTGTGGACTGAGGTGTTTCTGCTTCCAAATACTGGATCAGCAAATGTTATACAAGCTTCTAAAGAATCTTTTTCTAGAAATGGTATCCCTGAGGAATTAGTGTCAGATAATGGTACACAATATAGTTCGAAAGTGTTTCGTCAATTCTCTCAACAGTGGCAATTTAAGCACATAACAAGTAGTCCACACTATGCACAATCAAATGGTTTAGCAGAAGCAACTGTAAAGTCAGTAAAACTGTGGATAAAGAAATGTTATATGTCGAATGAGGACATTTATAAAGGTATCTTAATTTTACGTAATACTCCAATAAAATGTGGTTTATCTCCAGCGGAACTATTACATGGACGTCAACTGAGAGATAATTTACCCAGGTTTCAATCTCAAAATAAGGAACAGTCGAAATATTCAAGAGAAATAGTCAAAGAGAGAGTTCAATCTAAAAAATACTATGATACAAATATAACTTGTGAATGGAGTCTTAGAGGTAAAATAATGAAATGTGTTGCCCCTAGATCATATGAAGTAAAATTAAATCACAATGGACATATCCTTCGTCGAAATCAGATTCAACTTAGAAAAGTTTACGCTATATCAGCTCCAGGGGTGACTCGGGATAATGGGGCTATAATGCTCAGAAGACAAGCTATTCCGTCGCTTGAAGAATGCAATAGTGGTACAACGTCATCGGAAATGGAGAGCGAGAATAATATAATAGAAAAGAACAATTTGGTTGAAAATACAAAAGATTGATCATCAAGTCGTGGAAGAAGAATAAAGAATAAAGTACCAATCGATTATGAAGATTTTTGAACTAACTTGATTTCTTGACATATATATATATATATAGTTTGTTTATTAGGGACATGTGTCATTTATTATACATGTATATATACGGCCCGATCTTATATATCGGTGCCGGTCTTTAAGGAGAATATATTATGAACACAACATATATATATATATATATATATATATATATATATATATATATATATATATATATATATATATATATATATATATATATATATATATATGTATATATATATATATATGTATATATATATATATATATATATATATATATATATATATATATATATATATATATATATATATATATATATATATATATATATATATATGTATATATATATATATATATATATATATATATATATATATATATATATATATATATATATATATATATATATATATATATATGTTCCACAACGTGAGTCAATATGTGCGCATTACTTATATATATATATATATATATATATATATATATATATATATATATATATATATATATATAGCAGCCATGGCGCAGTGGTTAGAGTTCTGGTTCAGAACCCAGAGATCCGAGGTTCGACGCCAGCTCCAGCCCAAAAAGCGACATTGGTACGGAAGGAGGCGTGAACTTCCTGTTTAATGCTATCCCGCGGTGCTCTGTGATAAGGCCGTAAGGACTTCTGGGAGCATCTAAACTATCTACAAAAATATATATATGTATATATATATATATATATGTATATATATATATATATATATATATATATATATATATATATATATATATATATATATATATATATATATATATATATATATATATATATATATATATATATATATATATACATAACATTTTTATCATCTCGTTATTTTATATGACATTAGTATAATTAAAATACTTTAAATATAAATATTATAAATATTTACAGCAAATATTATTACAATAAAAAGCAACATATTCAAAAAATCACATGTCGCAAACTAAACTGTCAAGATGCTCACATTATAATGTATCTGTTCCACAACGTGAGTCAATATGTGCGCATTATTTATTAATATAATTATTAATAATATAAGTTCTTAATGTAGTTTAAATGACTAACTTAGTTAGTCATTTGATTAATAATATTTTTGTGGTCTCCTTAATTCCTCATTTTTAACATTCAGGCATTTCCTTAATTTCACTGATAATTATATTATGATAAACATACAGGTGATAAAATTGTACACACGTAAATCAAAATACCTTTGAATATTTGTCTACAAATCACATTTTTTATTTTTAGATTTTAGCTTTGTGACAAAAAGCAATCCTGTTTCTAGTGAGAGATGCGGAACTCCAAACATGCTTGCTCCTGAACAAGTTTCATGTAGTTATTATGATCCATTTAAATCTGATGTTTGGCAACTTGGTTTAACTTTATATACTATGTTAACTCAAAAAATGCCTTACAAAAGCGTCCGAAAAGATAAATTGGAACAAGAAGTTGTAAATTTAAAGAATGTTTACAAAAGTGTTCCTTATCCAAAGAATATTTTAATAACAGTTTCTTGTAAAGAACTTATTGGCGGAATGCTGGAGTTTAATTATATTAAAAGGTACAATATAGAGCAAGTAAAAGATTCAAATTGGTTATTGGACTTTTAATCTGATTCAAAATATGATATTAGTATTGAAGTATATCAAATTCAATATTTATTGCAAACTTATATAAATAAGATTGCTAATAGATATTTATAATGATTGAAATATAATTGATTATAAAGACTATTATCGTCTACAACTTGTGTTTAAAATCTTAATGGTAATTTAAAATGACATCTATACGTAGTCTAATACTATGACACGTATAAAATTCGAGTTTAGAATTTTTTTTGAAATAATACTTGTTTTATATTATATCGGACTTTATAGTTATAGTTTCTGTAACATAACATTGAATTGCAACGTCGAACTGCAATGTTGGGTTGCAACGTTAGATTGTGATATTTTACAAAATGTGTTTAAAATATGGCAACTTAATCACTGCCATATCCATTATAGCTAACAATTCAATACCAGTAATAAAAAACTTTAAAAACAGAATCGTTTTAACTTAATGCTCAACAATTAAATCTTTAATTTGTATTTCTTAATTGAGACAATTTTCGAAACAAATAAATTTGTCCAGTAATTTTTTATAATTACCCGAAAAAAATTCTAAATAATTCTAAGTAAGCCAAAATTTGGAATATACATTTGTAATATCATAAAGTAACACCAAAAAAATCCCTAATTGATAGCCCTTGTGGAAAATAAAATATTTACATCACCCAACAAAAAACTTTGGTGCGCGTCACCTGTGATCGCCACACTTGGTTTATGGGATGGCGAAGATGTGGGTCATGTATGGTCATGGTACTTAAAATATTAAAGTAGTATAAACATAGCGACATGTGGGCCTTGCGTGGTTACAATCTAAAGGGTATAAAGAGCATAACCACGTATTACCCGTATTACCAATAAATCGAGTATGGCTGTCATTTAATAACACATGAGGCCCAAATCGAAATTCCGTATCGGGTATTTCATAATGTTGGATTTTACTTTATGTTTAAACGTTAGAAAACAGGTTTATGCTAATATAACATTAATTAAAGATGATACTGACTGAAATTTAGACAAGTTTACATCGTAAAATTTATATATATATATATATATATATATATATATATATATATATATATATATATATATATATATATATATATATATATATATATATATATATATTACCGTTTAAAAATATTAAAACAACCAGATATATTATACAACTTTTTACATTACCAACAATAGGACTTCTAGAAGATTATGAAGATCTTGTCATGAAGCCCTTCACAATATATGGTTAATTTTTGATAAAAATATAATGTCTGTAGTAAAATAAAAATAAACTTTTTGCAAAACATATAAAAATTCAAGGTAAAATGTTAAACCAAATTGTTATATTGTATATTGTTTGTAAATAATATACAAAAAAAAGATTAAAAATAAACAATGATATTTTCAATTTAAATTATAATTTTTTAAAGTTTCTGTTTTAATGAAGCAAAAGTCAGTTTAAAAGAAAATTTAAAATTTGTCAAGACTATTTTGTTCCATAGATAAGGATCTCGATAAGAAACAAAAAATTGGTCTTTGTTTCTATGGTAAAAAGGGGAAATAAGATTGTTATCAATACGAAGATTATATTTGTTTTTAGGTTTCATAGTATAGAGATTTTATAATACATATGAAGACAAATTTTCTCTACATTTAAACGTGAAGAATAAGGTATTAAAGACATTTAGTTGATATAGATGTAAAACATTCATTTCTTTAAAAAGTTATTTCGTGTAAGAAAAACGATTTTAAGATTTTTTGAACTATAATAGAGTTTTATCTTTAATACCATATGACATACAGTTTTTTTAACAAGATTTGAAGATTGACGATATTAAATACTTTGGACAAATCAATAAATACTCCTAGTGTAAAACAAGAGTCTTTAAAAGATTAAGTTAAATTGCGCGTAAGTTGAAGAATAGCATGGTCGCCTGAATTATTTTTTTTAAAACTAAGTTAGTTTTTGTATAGTATTTCATTTTCAATAAGATAAGAGTAGAATCGGCTATGCATTGTCGTTTCTGAAATTTTTGAATAAACTGAAAGAACTGAAATAGGACGTTATAATTGTACATAATTGTTATAATTGTACAATTTCCTGTCTAAAAAAAAGATTGGAGTTATTTTTGCTATTTTTAGTTTATCTGGAAAAGACCCTTGCGCAATAATGCTCTGAAGATTTTATAAAGAATATCTTTTATAACATCGAAGGAATCAATCGCAATATTTGTGTTATTTGTCACCATTATTTTATTTTAATGATTAAAGTTTATTGGTGTTTCAAACTCATTTACAGAGTTAATTTCAATGTATGGAATACTATTGCTTAAACTTGTTCCGATAGTGGTAAAAAACTTGTTTAATTCAAATGCAATATCATTTATTTATTTGTTGTCAATTTGTATAAAATTTAGTCGCGAATTTATATTTGGTTTAAGTTTTTCAGACACATCCTTCATGATGCGTTTTGCGTTATGCTCATGTTTATTAAGCAAGTTTGAGTAGTTATTTTTTTTGTTTTGTTTTTTGTATTTTTGCAAAACATTTTAAATAAGTTTTTATAAGTTTTATAATTATGTTTATGTTTTTCTGATTTCGATTTTAAATATCTAACGTATAGCTTCTACTTAATTTTTAACAATTTTTTATGACTTTTTGTAATCGATGTCTTTGTCTCGATGTCTTTGTCGCTTAAAACTATTCTACTCAAAGAAAAATGAAAATCATACACTTGGTAAATGGGTTTAAAAGATTTGTCGCAAACTATGTTTATATTATCATTAAAGTTAATATGGTCCCAATAATTATTCTCTCAAAGAATTCAAATTATTATTGTTAATATTTTTTTATTCAAATCTTTCTCTGCTTTTTTTTTTTTTTATTCAGACGTATATAAAAAATTATTGAGAAGTGGTTGGAAACATTGGTTTTTATAATTCCGTTATTTTAGCAAATTATTAAAAAAATCGGTTTAGTGCAGTCAATTGGTGCAAACTTTGTGCTATTTAGGGTTAAAGCATGAAACTATTGACATGTTGCTAAGGCTAAAATATTCGTTTTAAAACTCACTTTGAAATGGAAACTAGCACCCCAGCAGGCACAATGACGTTGAAATAACGTTGAAACAACGTCGCAAACCGACCATATGCCACGTTGAAACAACGTTGAAATTTGGTTGAATTGGAAATAAAATCCGACGTCGAAAACTACGACGTTGAAACAACGTCGATGATTACGTCGTTTCAACGTTGATCTAACGTCTTATCGACTACATATCAACCATATTTCAACTTTGAATAGGTGATATATTCGATTGATACGTAGTTGATAAGACGTTAGAACAACGTTGAAACAACGTAAATTCAACGTTGATTTTTGTTTTTTATTTTGGTTAAATCCAATTAACTAAAAAATTATCTCAACTTTAATTGCAATAAAATAACACAATAAAAAAGCAATAATTTGCAAAGAGGATATTATATTTCACGTAAATTAATCAGATACAACTAAATTGCTTCAACGGACTTTACATACAATGCAAATAAAATAAAATGTTTGAAAAAAAAAGTTTTATTTATCAGTAATATATTTGTCAATTTATCAATAACAACTATTATCAATAGTTCCAGAACAACTAGGAAAAAGTATGAATGTTATACATCGGGTTAATCGCCTTTTACGCGCCGACCACCACCATTTGATCTGACGAGTGCGTATTTTAATAAAGTCATTATTTCTTTTCTTATTTCGGCAACTGTAGCAGTCACTTTAATTGACAAAACTCTCTCTATAAAAAAGGTATTGCCTGAGTAATTTGCATCAAATACATCAAAAAGATAAAAATAAAATAGCATTAAAAAAACGAACTGTGATTTTTAAAAAATATATAATTTTACACTTAACTTACAAGTAAATACCTAATGTTTGTTCCTCTAAACTTCTCTTTACCTTTACCGCCAGCCATATTAAATTTTGATTATAAACCATTGGTCAACAACGTGCATTATACATTGTTATTATTATTATAGTTACATTAAAAATTGATAAACATGTCTTAGACAAAATACAAATTATTCTCAATGAAAAATTGCACAAACCGCAAAGGTTTCTTACCAAACCGTAATGCAAGTAAGAAAAAGAATTGATACAGGGGAAGAGTTTTGTCCAAGGAGACCACCTTCTAAACGCAAGAAAACACCAAGAGCGGACAGTATAATCAGAAATATCTGCCTGGAAAACAGAAAAAAAGCCACTAAGCTTATCCATGAAGCTGTAATTGTTGTGTCAGACCGGACCATTTGTAGAAGGCTAAAAGAAGAGGGATTGATGTCCAGCCAAAAAAGTCAAAAATTGACAAAAAAATTTGAAAAATATTAAAAATAATGTCAAAAATCTTATATTTATGCAAGATAACATTATGCAAGATAATATTTATGCAAGATAACTTGCCACACAATAAAAACTGTTATGGCTTAGTTGATGTATTTCTATAGCTAGACAACTCGCATGATCTTAACCCCATAGAAAACATTTGAAAAATAGTAAAGCAAGAGATTGGAAAAAAAAATCTTACTAATAAGCAAGATCTTATGGAAGAGATTATCAAGATCTTGCATAATAACCCAATGTTGACAGAAACTATAAAAAATAAATTGCAAGCCTGCCACAATGCAATGAAGCAGTTATTGCAAATAAAAGTGCTTTTGCAAAATATTTATACTTTATATATATTTTATATAATTTATCATAATAATCAATAAATATTCAAAATGTTCAACTTTATTTATTTATTTTTATCAAGTACAGTTTTATAAATAAAAGAAAAAACTTTAAATTGAACCATTATTGTATATATATATATATATATATATATATATATATATATATATATATATATATATATATATATATATATATATATATATATATATATATATATATATATATATATATATATATATATATATATATATATATATATATATATATATATATATATATAT